ATGCCTTTTCATCAATATAGCACATTTTGCTTTAATCGCGTTACTAGAAGGCATACGATAGGTGCGTTTAGATTGTTCAAGGTTCTGGCAACGGCATCTTGCCTTATTTACCTTTCAAGGACTGAATGTTTAAGGTGACAGTATTTAGCTTCGTCCTTAGTCGAAACATGTTCGGCGGTGGCTTCGAAAGGGGCCTATGGGTTTGGGCAGATAGACGGCTCGCAGTGACAGTGTTTGCGCGTCTGAAATGCAGCGACTAGCTGGTGCCTGGCTATGTACCCCAAGATGTTTGCTGATATCTAATCATTGGCATCTTGTCTGGATAGTCATATGCCAAGATGAATCCAGGAGTTATCATGTAGAGGCGATCAGATTCAAGCACCCAACCACTCAGTTTGTGTTTTTTTAGGTCAGTACTCATAGCTCAGGGCTGTAAGGTAGCAGACAGTATTTTAATAAAATGTGCTAAATTAGAGCAGACAGTTTCTTCTTTAGTTGCCACGGCGGATCGGGATATTTTTCTGAACTGGTCTTTGCTCTGCGCTAATCAGAATTATGTAGAATGCGATGGTCACATTGGCGTTGAGTTAAGAACGGAATATGGAGAGACAGTTGAATGTCCAGACGAATATCACTCCATAATTTTTCGTTCCGCACTAACTACACATTAAAGTAAGATGACCAGCAAAGTAAGAGTTATTTTCGGCATAACACGTAGTCAGAGCAAAGGATGGATGGCTCTTAACAGAGGAAACTGCAGTAGAAAGCAGATTGCTGGAAGCTTTGAAAGAGCTATCCGGATGAGATGCCGTTTCACGGCTGTTGGTGTAAAACTCGAAGGCGACGAAAGTGTTCGAAACCTGTTGAAGATAAGCTGTGCTTCGTTTGTTTACTCGGTGGCTTTTACGGATTACACGTATTACGGATTTTACTATTCGCATTGATTCTCTGTCGACACCACTTTCGAAGTGAAAGCTGTTGTGGTCATCGTATAATCCGGTAATTTATCGGAACTTGCCTAACGGTGTTGTCAGGATTTGTGAATGCGACCTTACCGCGATGTTTTCTAGCTTATCCTGGGGCGCTGCTGACTGTTTCGGCATAGGTTAGATTTCTCGTCGTGAACTGGTCAGTCTTTTGCACGAATTTTCTCTACTCTCTCCCCGGCAGCGGACGTCTCTGCTGTCAGCGACAGATCTTGTTCGAGAAAACGGACCGCAGTTAAGTTTCTGTTTGTTGAGCTTTGAAAAAGGCTTCCGTGGAGTATAGTACGCAGTTTTCTGTGCATGTCAGGTCATTGTACGTGTTTGAGGTCTGTCTCAGAAATAACGACCAGACGTCGATGCCTTCCAACGTGTGTTCATCACTGTCAACACAGATGCGCAAGTCATTGGTGACAGTTTCGCCAACCGGAAACAAGAGGTGTGACTCCCGGTTCATGACGTTGTAGCGAGCGTATTTCAAGAGCATAAACCTTATTTTTGTAAAGTTAGTTACCTGCTTTGAGCCAAATGCCCGACAGCCCCTCGTGATAGGCGTCGCCAAAGCCAAACGAAGGTGCTGCGCTTCATGTGCTGCTGTAATTGCCATGGTGTACGCTCGTCTGCAGCGACCTTACAGCTGCATGGATTTGACAGATTTCAGTGTCAGACGGCATAGTTTGGTTTATAGCGAGGAAATTTGGTTGAGAGGTACTGTATTTACCATCGACGAATTCCTGCCATCTAGGCATTACCGGTTTTTCGGTCACATGACGAGACTCACAGCAGAGCAACCCTCACATGATAGCTTAATGTCGATTTTCGTTAAAGCCAAGGCGACATTTAATCGGTGGTCCAAAGCCGATGTTGGTTTGTTAAATCAGACGCGAAACCAGTCTACCCTTTTCGAGTATCCGCACCCACCGCCCATGATATTGCCTACTTTTAGTCGCAGCTCTTTTCTATCGACCGCGTGTGCTTGATGACTAGTGAGGTTCTTTTTAGCAAAATGATCGTTTCCTGTAAAGTTCACTGTTTGATGCAGTTTTTAGCCGTTTTATCTATTAGCTCTGCCGTCCACGCCCCTCCCGGTCAGCCAGTAACGGTGTCCGAAGTTGGCTCTCGGTCGGTTGGCGATCGTCTCTTTGAAGTCTGTCGCGAATATGTCTTGGCGTCGTTTTATGTTCTGATCTTTACGCTTTGCGTTGAGCGCGTTTCTTGTTCGACATTGATTCTGTTCATTTAGACGGTCCGTCTAAAGTTATTCCTTGGCGACTTTCATGTTGTTTCTGTCGCAGCCCGGTGTTCGCTTTAGTTATCGAACTTAGAAGCTGCTTTGGGACTGGTGAGCGTTTTCGATTCAGATGCTACGTTGAGGTATTAAGGATTCAGAATTCATAGCTGTTGAACTAGCATCACTTGTTATACACGTTTTTGTAGATGGCAAGACTAAATAGTGGAATTCGTGCCGGCAGCAAATTCCAGTTTCCTGAGTCCGCGAATTCGCCAAGGGACCCTGGAGCAGGTCTGGAACAGTTTTTTTTCTCAAACATATTATGAGAAACTGCAGCTACTGTTTGATGAATTAATTAAATTACGCGTATTTTTTGTTTGAATCTGTTTCACGAAACCGAAACCAGTTCCTTATTCTTGCATGCATAAATAGTGATTACTCAAATTAAACACGAATTAAAGCAACAGCACTGAGATAGAAGGTAGTACGGAAAATTACTCGCCAACGCACCTTAGATTTTAAGTCATTAAGGCTACGTCTTTGACAGGTATCAGTCGCTGTAGAGACATAACAATGACTGTGTTATCCACCATGGGTACAGCTTATCGCTGTAGCCACGGTTGAACCTTTCGTTCTGTTATTAATAAGATATTTCTTGCAAGAATCTCTCATAATGAAATAAGTATTTGTCGAATTAAACGTAAAGAGCTCTCGATCGAGGTGGAGTTTCGATGAATCTTTGGAGAAGTTGGGACGAGAAGGTCTTGCTTTGTTCTGTTTACTGTTTCGCAAAATCTACAGAATGTAAAACGATGTCCAAAGACATTCAGGAAGAATATTCTGATGCTCGTTTACAAAAAGATAAGGAAATGGACTATTGTCAATCCTACCTTTTTCTGTCTCTTGTGATTTATTGTCACGTGCTTCCATATCTCTCTTTTAACATATCGTCCCATTTGAGTCGAGGCCTTTTATTTGGGCGCTTGCAGTCCCTTGGGTACCAATCCGTCAGTGCTAAAGTCCATGGT